TTCGGGGTGTCCCCGGGGGGTTCCGGGCCCCGCCGCGGGTCGGGGCGGCCGCGCCGGAGCCCCCCGGCTCGCTCGGACCTCGCCGCGTGCGGGCTGCCCGGGAGCCCCTCGGGCTTATTGAGAGCCGCGGGAATTAACCGACTCCCCCTCCGCCTGCCCCAGGCTCTTCCCCTGCAGCGGGGGCTGCCGCGGCGGGCAGCGCGACCCCTTCGAGCCGGCCCTGTCCCGGGGGTGGGCAGAGCAACCGGGCGAGGGGCAGCGCGGCCGCCCGGGGTGCGGAGCGGGGTTCCGGAGCCGCCCGGGGTCCGGGCTGCCCCCCGGGTTGGTTCTGGAGCGGCCCCCGCCTCGCGGTGCCCCTCGCGCCTGGCGGCCGAGCCCGGGCGCCCGCGGGCACCGAGCGGAGCCCCCGGTGCTGCCCCGGTGCTGGCCCGGTACTGCCCCGGTGCTGGCCCGGTACTGCCCCGGTGCTGCCCCGGTACTGCCCCGGTGCTGGCCCGGTTCTCCGCTGCGGCTGCGGGCTCGGCCTCGTCCCGGCTCCCGGGGCGGCTGCTGGAGGGAGAAAAATTAATATCCCTTCCTAAAGGGCTTCTGGAGAGCTGGCTCCGGGCACGCGGGGATGGGAGCAGATGAGCCATTTGCCTTAATTACTGGTATCAAAAGCCCGGGCTGCAGCTTAGCCTGGAAATAAATACCGTTAATGTGGCGGTGCGGGGGGTGTGTGCTGATGCATGGCGCAGCCGGCGGGGTCCGCGGAGCTGCTCCCCTCTGCGGCGGGGCTGCTGCCGGGCGCAGCCCTTCCCGCCGGAGCCGCATCCCGGCTCGCCGGAGCCGCTTTCCCTTGCCGCTTCTGGGCACGTATCCGGGCACGTGTCCGGGCTCAGCCCTGCAGCAAATGTGGCAGCGAGCGGAGCTGCCGAAGCTGCCGGGTGCAGCCCCCGGGCCGCGCGGGCTCCGCTCTTCCTCCTCCTCTTCCTCACCATCCTGCTTTCTGCGCTGCCCCCTCCACTCTCCGCGGGTAAGCGGAGGAGCGGGTGGGATTGGGGCAGCGCGGGGGGGTGCGAAGCACCTTGCAGGGGGCCGGGAGCGTTTGCTGCACCCACTGCACCGCTGCGGCCGCGGGAGAACGTGCCAGAGCCCCCGCTGGAAAAGCGGGAAGGGGGATGGATTTATGGATCTGACTGTGCCGAATTTCTCTCCACACCTGACTTTGGAGTGACTTGGGGAGCYGAGGAGGGGACTGTCCACCCGGACGAGCCCCAGCGATTCCAACACAGTGCCTGGGTCCCCAGAGCGTGAGCGTTCCTCTTGACCACAGTGCCACTGCGGCTGGTGCTAATTACCTGGTGTTAATCACTAATTAACAACTGGGCGGTTGCAGCAGAGCCATGGGCAGGAGCGCAGGGTGCTGCCCCCTTCCCGGGGCAGGGTGAGCGGRAGCTTGTGGGCACCCATGGGTGCCTGGCACCTCTGTGGGTGCCTGAGGCTGCAGCAGCTGCCGAGTGCCCTGGTGCCGGAGCCTCGGGCCGTGTGTGCCGGGAGCGGTTGCTAAGCAGCCTGTGGATTGGCACCGTGGCTCAGCCGGCACCGGAGCCGCCGCAGGAGCGGCCCCCGAGCGCCCGGGGCTCGTGGCGTCGCGCCGCTGCAGCAGCGGCGGCGCCCGGGGCGCCGAGGCCGCAACACGGGCGGTTTCCAGCGCGCTGGGAGCTGCGTCGCTGCGGGCCCTGCTGCGTTTTACGATTGCACCTTTTCCCTCGGGTGCCCGACCCGGGAGGATCCCGTGGGTTGCAGGGCCAGGTGCCGCCCTGCGTTTCCTGCAGCCGCAGGTGCCACCGTGGTCTGTCTGCAGGCTGCGGTTTAKCCGCGGGTTGCAGCTGCCCAAGGCGCTGGTGCCAGGGGTGCAGGAGGAGGCGCCGGGCGCTCCCTCTCGACGGTAGCTTTCCCAGAGCCCACGTTCCTGCAGTGCCGGCACGAGTGGAATGGGATCTGCTGCCATCCAGCTCCCGAGCTCCCCATCTCGGGCCAGGAGCGGAGGGCCAAGGGAAGGGCCCTTGGGACCTGCCTCTCCRTGCTGGAAACATCCGATGCCCACAGATGACTCTTTGCACTGCTGGTTGTACAAGCACGTGCTGACCGAGAGCTCTCTCCTTTCTTTTTGCCTTTTTATTCCTTTTTTTTTTTTTTATAAGTATCTCATGTGGGCTCTTTTCCAAAGTGCAATCCGTAACGCTTTTCCTGAACTTCCCAACATGCTTCCCGTGCCAGGCAATGCAAAGCAGGGCGGCTGGGAAGCGTGCGGCTCCCCTCGGCATCGCAGCCCCGCTCGGGCTCCGGCCGCTGCTCCCACGCAGGGGCTGCCCCAGAAAGCTGCATTTTGTGAGCAGCTTAACGGCCTCGGGCTCTGTCAATGCAAAAATTACCTCATCATTGGCACGGGCAGGTGGTGGCGAGCAGCAGCCTTCTTCAATATTTAAGAAAGCTGCATTGCAGAGCTGAGGCGGCTGGGCAGCGAGGCTGCGCGCCGGGCGCCGCGCTGGGCACCGGGCGCCTCCGCGTGTCCCCGGGGCGGCCCCGCCGCGTTGGCTTGCAGGCTGCTCCAGCGGATYCCTGTTTGTGGCTGCCATGGGCAGCTGCAGCGGGTCTGTCCGCCCGTGCCGGGCGCTTCGGTGCCAGTTGGCAAGCAGGGCACGGCCGCATGCAGCCCGGGAGCCGCCGCGCCGAGTGGAGCCTCTTTGGGGACGGCCKGACGCGCCGTGGGGCTGCTGGTGTCCCCGCAGCCGGCAGCTCCAGCAGGGATTTCCGAAGGAAGGTGGCAAAGCTGCTCCAGGGGCAGGTGGCTCTTGCCCGCCACGTCGGGAGCTGTTTTTGTGCTGGGGTTTTGCACGAGCCGCTCCGTCCTGCTGGACCCTTCCTGCCGGGAGGAGCTTGGCCAGGGGATCAGCCTGACTCGTCCGTGCGTGGGGCTTATCCAGGGGGTTTTCCTCTGCCAGAAAAGCTGGGAAACAAGGAGAGAGGTGTCGATCTTGGCTTGGATTTGATCCACCAGGAGCTTCTGCCTGCGGGCGAAGCTTCACAGTGGCAGAGCCGCCGGGGCCACTTTGCTCCTCGCCAAGTGCCCTGCACGGGCCCGGGCGAGCGGAAGCGCCGYGGAGCAGCTCCCTGGGATCGCCGGCCTCTCCGGAGGCGGCGAGGGAGGCCGGGCCTCGAGCYGGCAGCTCCGTGGGGCAGATTAGGGCGCCACGGGAGCAGGCGGCGGCTGGTGCCAGCTCCGGCCGTTGCAGCCTCCGGCTGTGGCACGCGAGCAGCCCGCTGCAACCTGCGCCCGTGTCCGCAGGTGGCCGCGGCGGCCGGCGATGACGGACGCGGTGCTGGGCGGCAGCGCGGACCCGTGGATGTGCCCCAGCGAGCGCGCCATGTCCCTGCGAGCCAGGTAAGGCCGCGGCGCCGGCGGCTCCCCCGGCGCCACTTCCCGCCTCATCCCTCTCCCTGTCTTTCCATGCTTCCCGGCTCATCCCTGCTCCTCTGCCCAGCAGCGAGAAGGAGCCGTGAGTATCCCATGCGGGCGCTTCACGGTGCCCGTGGCGTTCGGTGACCCTGCAGCCAGGGCTTGGGAATGTGCTGCAGATCCCTGGGGGCTCCGTCCCCGCTCACGGGTCCCTCCGGCCGCAGGCTCCCGGCGGGATGGGCGGCCCGGGGCGCACAGCCGGAGCGGGCGCGGAAGGGCGAGGAGCTGACGGATGAGGAGAAGGAGATCATCAACCGCGTGATCGCCCGCGCCGAGAAGATGGAGGAGATGGAGCAGGAGCGCATCGGGTAAGGCCGCGGCCCCGGCCGGCGCCCGTTCATCGCTCCCGCAGCCCAAACCGAGCCCCCTGCTGCCGGGGATTGGGGAATAACCGGGGATTGGGGAATAACCGGGGATTGGGGAATAACCGGGTTCCGCTTTCACTTGAGATAGCTGTGAAGTTGCTGCGAGTGGCAAACCCAGCTTTGCAGCGGGCCCTTCTCAAAGAGGGCTTCCCAACGACCTTTCCCGGCTTTGCTCCTGGCTTTTTGCATTAGGCTCATGCAGGCTCYGGCTCTGGGTCCTTCCTGTCCCGGAGCCCCATCCGGAGCAGCCCCACGTGGCTTGGTCGGATGCAGCGACTGGTGCCCGGCAGGTGCTGCAACCACCGGGGCTTTTCTGGTCCCCTGGCAAGAAAACACAAGGAGACACATTAAAAGAAAAGAATTTGGTTAATATAAATGTAAATATAGCTTAAACAAAGCACTGGTGCCTTCCAAAGGCGAGGAGGGTACCTGGAGCATTCCTTCCCTGGCAGCCCTTCCGTGCCGCTCTGCCGGCGCGCGGGAAGGAAGCGATGGTGTTCGTGAGACGCCCTTTGCGCAGCGGGACGTGGTGCCGGATGAGCCGAGCGGGGGACGATTCCCGGCGGCGGGAGACATGAGCCGGGTGCCGAGCGGGGCGCGGGCCGGCGGCAGCTCCCGGCCTCTCCGCGGACTCCAGGCGCTCCGCAGGGTCTCGGCTGCCTCCCTGCAGCACGGAGGGCTCCCCGGAGACCTTCCTTCCTCCAGCCTTTGGCCTTCAGTTACCTGCACAGGGCCAGGGGCAAAAATCCCATCCGAGTTTTTAGCGGTTTTAATTATGCTTTTTAATCTCTAGCTCAGCTTTTTCTCCTTGTCTTTTCATGCCATTAAAAATCACTTTATTATTCAGACCTTTAAGGCACACCATTTCCCCCCGGACACAAGTCGCCGCTTAATTCCGGAGTCGGCTGCTGACCTCTTTTGTGTTTTACTTTAATGTCTCTCTCCCGTATAAACTGTGGCTTGATCCCGTCCTCGCAGGCCCTTCTCCCTGGCACCTCTTTTGCAGCGTGTGCTGCACAAGATGTCCTTCCTGATGCCACCTGTAACCCGCTCGCTCGCGTTTCTGCAGCGTGGCCTGAATGTTTAACACGCGGCGCTGGCTCCTGGAGCCCTGCAATGGCAAGCGAGGGCTTAGGTGGTTAATTTGGATGCAAACCACAAGGATGGGCTTGAATTGCAGCTCCTCACACCCTTCTCCCAGGAAGGCTTTTGAAGCAGAAGGCAGCCTGGTTTCTTTAGCCCGATAAATGCTGCAATTAGGCACGTGCGCTTCGTGCTGAGCCAGTGGTGCAGCTGGGGGCCCGGCCCTGCTGCTCCCCCCGGATGAACACTCCGGTGTCCGGGCTCCTTCCTGGCAGYAAATGAGGGCCGGGGAACGATTCTGCAGCGAAATAACGCAGCGCTTGAGATGCAAAGGCGTTTCTCCTTCCTGCTTTGATTGTGCCATTTGTTCTAGTTTCTATAATCAGTGTGTTTGGGCTTGCAGATTGCCAACGGGGAGCTGCCGAGCGCCCGCAGCGCGGCGGGGGCCGCGCTCCTACGTGTGCTGCGCTGGTGGCAGGATGGAGAGCCGTGACTCTCAATAAACGCTGCTTTTTTTTTCCCCTGGAAAGCCCATTTTCAGGTAGAGAAGGGGAATGGCCCAGAGCTGCAGCAGCGCAGAGCGTCGCAGAGCCGCCGCTTGCTGCCGGAGCCGCCAAAACGCATCGCTCCCATCTCCGTGCGGTTTTCCCTCCTCATCCATAACCCCGGGAGAGGCTTCCCACCAACAGCCCTCCTCCAAGGAGGGATTCTGCCCTAGGGGTCTTTGCCAGAGCGGGGCGATCCCCGGGCCCGGGTGGCGCGGAGCCGCGTGCCGCCGGCGGCAGCCTTGGCTGCGGCGCACGGAAAACGCTCCGCAGGTGCCGGCAGCAGAGGCCTCGCGGATTTGAAGCTGTCATAAGGCATGTGGGAAACTGTCTTTTAAACGTCTTGCTTTCTTTTAATGCCTGCCGTGTTCGCAGCTTTGTCAGATTTGGGTCACGCTGCGACGGGAGGGAGAGAGGCCCTGCAGGCGAGATTTTCTCCAGTTCTCCCCTGTGCGGTTGCATGGTTTTTTTCCTCCTTCCTTTCCTTCTCCTTCCTTTCTGAATAGCATAAATAATGCATTTTTTTCCCCATTCTGGTGCTATTTTTAGGGCTGGGATTTTGGGCTAACGGACTGTATAATTCACCAGCAGATCTCCTGCGCTTGGCAAGCAACCTGCTCCCTCTGGATGGGCTCCACAAGCTGCTTTTGCGACTGCTCTTCTTTCAGGACTTGCTTAACTGGTTTCCTTTATGTTTTTTTAAAACCCTCCTAGTAAACAGCTGTGTTTGTACAGTCGGTTCTCGGGTGGGCTTTTTGCATCTACCTCAAAGGGCTAAGAATATCCATAAAGCCAAGCCGTTTTGTTATTAGAAAGTGAGAAAAACAATTAATTTGCTCGGTCTCCTTGGCCAAACCCATCCTGGGTCTCTTCTCACCCAACTCCAGTGCCTCATTGAGGTTGGAGTGGGGAAAAAGAAGCRGTTTCATGGATGTCAAAGGCTACTTTGCAGAAGAGGGGGTGACTTTGGAGCCTCGGCGCGCGGGAGCGGAGCCGGTGAGGCTCCTCCTTCCACCGGGAACTGCAGGTGGAATGGGGATAGTGCCTGCTGGCGGGATGCCGTGTGTCACGGGCACCGTGTGTCGTGGTACTCCGCGGCACGGCGCTGTGTGGCGACACCGCGCTGCTCCCTCCGTGCCAGGCGCCTCATGACCCGCCTGGAGGACATGCGCCGCAGCGTGGCCGGCGACGGCGTGAGCCGCTGCATCCTCTGCGGGGAGCAGCTGGGGCTGCGGGGCTCGGCCAGCGTCGTCTGCGAGGACTGCAAGAAGGTGAGGGGCGCAGCGGGGCACGGGCGGGCGGGCACCGCGGGCAGCGCGCGGCCACGCGGCGCTGTGCTCCCTCCGCAGAACGTGTGCACCAAGTGCGGCGTGCAGAGCACCAACAGCCGGCCCGGCTCCATCTGGCTGTGCAAGATCTGCAGCGAGCAGCGGGAGGTGAGAGCGGCGGCGGCGGCGAGCGGGCACCACGTTGCCCCGCGCGCCCGTGCCCACGTGGCGCTGTCCCCGCAGGTCTGGAAGCGCTCGGGCGCCTGGTTCTTCAAGGGCCTGCCCAAGCACGTGCTGCCGCAGCCCATGCCCRTGAGCAGGAGCAAGGCGGGGACGGGCGGCGAGCCCGGCCTGGCTGAGCCGCAGCCCAAGCCCGCGGCCCGCGCGCCCGCACCAGGTAGGTGAGCGCAGGTGGCCGCCTCGTCCCGGGCCGAGGGACCCTCCGGGGTGCAGCCGCATGGAGGGTGTCCCCGCGCGGCGGCTCCTCTGAGGGCTCGGATAGGGGTGCGATGGGTGCTGCTCGCTCCCCTGTGCGGGTGTTTCACTGCCTCTCGCTTTCTGTTCGTGCTCCCAAGGCCAGGCCGGCGCCGGGCCCCCGGCTGAGCCGGACTCCTACGGTAAGGACGGAGGTTTGGTCCCCTCGCCTGCAGTCCCGGTGCTCCCCGTGCTCTCCCTTCCCTCCGGGATGGTTTTGGTGGATGCTGCTGGGGGCGGGTGGGATCTGCAGGCATTCATCTGCCAGGGCTCGGGGCTCGCAGGAGCCAAATACCTCCATAGGTGGGAAAAAGAGGCCTTTCTAAGGAGGTGCATGCGGGAGAGGGGCTTTTCCAAGCCTCTGGAACAGGCAGCCTCCCTTCCCCCCGGGATCTCATCCCGGGCTGGGGGATGTCAGTCCCTCCTGGGCAGGCGGCTGCGGAGCTGGGCGTCTTTCCGCTGACGAGAGCTGGGGAGTTATTCTGGGGCCTTCCCACCTCCCGCACGCCTCCGGAGCTGTTATTCCCCGCGCTGATTTGCATGTTCTCTGCTGCATTTTCCTGGCTATTTAATGACAGACCTTGGAAAACCTCCCCGGGAGCTTCGGGGGGTCCGTGAGCAGTGGGTGCCTGGGGCAGCCGAGCCCTTGGTGCGCTGCTCCGGAGCCCTGGGGTTGCCGAAGCGGATGGCGTTTGAGCATCCAGGGCTCCGGAGCAGCAGCTGCTCCCGCTGCCCCTGCCTGGAAACCTTCCTCCTCCTCCTCCTCCTCCTCTGGATGCTTGAGCACAGCTGCAGTGGTGCCTGGGGCCGCAGCCGCGCGCCCGGGGTGTTGCAGCGCGGTGCAGCAGCGCGGCGGCTCGCAGAGCGATGCCGTGGCAGGCACGAGAGTGGCGGGCGGCCCGCGCGGCCGCGTTCGGTGCGCGCCGCAGGCCAGCGGTGGCCGTGGGGTTTTTCTCTGCGTTTTCTGTGCGGTTTTTCTCTGTTTTCTGTGGGGTTTTCCTCTGCGTGCCGATGGCCGCGGCGCCCGGCCGAGCCGGGCCTGCTGCCGGTGCAGGGATCGTGGGCAGCCTCCTGCTGTGCCCAGGGACAGGCGGCATCTTCCCGCGCAGCRGGGCGAGGGGAAACCGCTTAATTAAGGCTCCCTCGAAGCACAGGGGGAGCTGGTGCTGTCGAGCTGCTGGCCYTTAAAGCCTGGCTTTATTAAACCATCCAGCCGGGCAGGCTCTCACAGCTCCGCAGGCTGGTGATCCACATGCTCATAACATGCCAGCGATTCTTCCTAAGGCTCCCAGGGAAATATATTACACCGCTTTTGTGAGTGGCAAGGCCCAGGTTTCCCAAGCCTGCTTCCCCACCAGGGCGTTTTCATCCCCCCGCTGCATCCGCAATCTGTTGCGTTTCTCTTGCTCCTTTGCGCCCGGCGACCCCGCGAGCGCAGTCAAGGAGAAATCTCCCATTTGTGGCAGCACAAAGATTTATAGCTGCCGTTCCCGGCGCGCGCCAGGTGAGTGCCGGGCCCTTTCGCATCGCTTCGGCGGGTTGCAATTTGTCACCGAGAAGTGGGCAGCAGCAGCCTCGCGCGTGTGGCCGCGGYTTATGCGCTGGGGCCACCCGCTGGATGGTGCAAATGGAAGGCAGAGGCAGCTGTCGTTGTTGTCGCTCTAATAAATGGGAGATGATGGGGACAAAACGGGAAGATGTGAGGTCCCCATCGTGGCTGCGATTCCCTGCGGTTTTGGGGGCTGTGGAGCAACTTGCTGCTGCAAGTTTGTCCTGGTGCAAGGTGCCTCTTTCCCTGCTGCTCGGCTTCCCCTYGGTTTTCCTGGCCGTGCCCGGTGCATGGTGCTGCCCTGCGGGTACTGAATGCCTTGCAACGTGCAGAGCTGCAAGGCCTCCTCCTCCTGGGTGCATGGAGCCACTCAAGCCACCCCTCTGGGCCAGTTTCATGCAAGCAAAGCCACCTCATAATTCTCTTATTGCTTCCCCCCAGGCAGCGAGGCCGCGCGGGGCGGCTCGCCGGCGGCCGCGCGCAAGGCGGCGGAGGGGCGCGCGGC